AGGAAGTTACTGACCTGCAAAATGTCACGTTCCGGAGAAGGTTTTACTTCCCCAAGCATGGGGCTGACGCAGGAGCCGGTGCTGGGAAACGCTGCAGCCACCCGTTCCCTTCAACCAGCTCCTTCCCCGGCTCCTCTGAAACACCCGGGATATACCGAGCAAAGCCTTCACCCCCACCCTGGGACAAGGTGATTTCTGGACCATGTGCTGGCACCCAGCTTGGTTTGGGAATGGAGCCAGGGCCAGCCCAGCGCTAATCTGCTGTGGAGCAATTAGCCCTGAGTGTTAATTGTTGACCCTGTGCAGGATTTGGCCGTGCCCAGAGCAGAACCAGCCGGACGAGATTCCTGCAAGCAGGAGCAGAGGCACTGAGCAGGAGGGCTGGGGGCCACGGGGAGCCCTGGACTGTCCCCACACCAACCTGGGCTCACTCTCTCGCTTCTCTCCATTTCACAGCTCTGCCTTGCTCTCACAGCACCTGAAGGTCCCAAAAGGGACCCAAAAAGGTGTCCCCAGAGCTGCTGGGAGCAGCTCCTGTGGCACAGAGCAGCACAGGCTGTGGTCCCCAGGGAGCAGGGACACCACAGAGCTCAGCCTGGGAACAGGACAACCCACCACACATCACACAGTGACACTTTCTCAGCTCCAGATCCAGGCAGGTGTCGAGGGAGGTGATGAAATGCCAGGGGGAGCTGTGGAATTTTGGGAAAAGGTTTAGGGAACAGAAGGATGCTGGCAGGAAAACATGAGACATCCCAAACGCTTCCCCATGGATGCTGCAGCACACAGCAGGGTGTCACCCCCCTGCCCAAGCATGGAGCACTTTAGCTCGTCATAGCCTGGAGATGACTCTCCTGCCACTGTGTCCATGCAGGGACCCCAAGGTCCCTGTGAGGCTGATGGAAAACATCAAGCACTGAGCACTTATTATCCAGGAGATGCTCAAGACCCCCCTTCCCAAAATCCAAGAGCCCAAATAGCACATCCATCCCACCGGCACAGTATGCCCAGCCCTTCAGATAAGCTGAATCCATGCTCAGGAAGAAATCTGTCCTGTCACGCATCGAATAATCCTACTAAACCCATGACTCAGTTCCTAATACCTGCTGGGATTTACATGCACTCTTTTGCAAGAGCAGCCCCCGCTTGCTCAATGTCAGACCAGGGCCGGGCAGGCGGCGCTGCCAGCCTCCAGAGATGAGCCTTCAGCACCTTAATTGGATGTTTGGGAATAACAGCATGGAAAAGAACCCAGCAGAAAGGTCCAGAGCATCCCAAGTGCTCATGTAAACACCGTTAGTCCCTGCTTTGCGCCCAGTACCACGGGGAGACCTGCACCCAGCTCCTGAGAAACTCCAGCTTTCCTCCTTCAGCTCTTCCCGTCACATTTGCATCCATCTGTCACCCTGCGCCCGCCAAAACAAGGTTTCCAAAACAGAGGAGCCTGCGTGGGCAGAGGAAGGCAGCCGGGACACAAGCGGGATGGGGGCAGCCTCTGGGCATTCCAGGTGGAATGTCAGCCAGACACCAGAGAAATGTGTCCCTGGTTGAAGTGCTGAATCGCCAACATGGCATTGGAGAGGAGGGAGCTGCACCCCAAATGCTGGCTCTTCGGGTCAGCAAAGCTGCTGGGAAAAGGGAACAGCTGGAAAATCCCAAAGGTTGATCCCCCCGCAGATGGAAGCTGAGCCCCTCCGACCAAAACTGAGCGTTTCCAGGGGAAAGTGGAGGAAAACTGCGCCTCGTAGAAGGAAACACAGATCAAAGAGTCACTGACCAAGAGCAGGGGGATGCCAGCAGCAACCAGCATGACCCTAGCACAGGGCACAGCCCCACACCCCGAGCTCAGCTCCCCAAGGACACCACATGGAAACAAGCTGAGGAACATGGATTGTGTCTGGCTCGAGCTCGGAGTAGGCAGACATTCATCCTACCCAAAACCATGGCACAAGGGTGACACCAGAGCAATGCAAACCCCACCACCCCGAGAGCCTCAGTGCCACCAAACCCCCAGCCCCACTCCCAGCATACATGATTTGCCAATTCCAAAGACCAAGAGCAACAGGAAGGACAGCAAGCAGAGGGAAGAGCCCGAAGCACCTGAAACCAGTGGGAACAGGAGGGTCCCCATGAAACCGGGGTGGGTTTTGGTGGAAAGAGGCCGCTAGGGACAAGCAGGAGGTGGTGGTGGGGATGGAGATGGAAGTGGACGAGGCAAAGGAGTGCCCAGGAAAAAGGGAGCGGGATACAGCAGCCGAACCGAGCGCAGTTACCGCAGTGTCCCCTCGGGTCCCTGTCAGCCTCGGACGGGCCGGCTGCGCCTCTGCCCTCCTCATCCGTCTAAAGCTGCGGCTACGGGGAGGAAATGGTGAGGAGGAGTGGCCCAAGAGGCACTTCCTTCTCCCCGCGCCAGGGGACGGCCGCGGGGCTGGTTTTCTCTCCCCCCTCTTGCTCAAAGCCCTCCTTGGTGCCTGCGTCACATCACGGTGGCATCGTGCGGAGATGCACAACTTATGGGCGGCTGCAGCAGGAAAGGGATGGGGCAGTGGGATATGGATGGGGCAGTGGGATGAGCTCAGCACCCGCACAGCCTCAAGGAAAACATCCCACCCGCCGGGTGACATCAGCCCAAAGCCCGTCACTGGTAAAGGTCAAAGTGATGATGCTACTGAGGTTATCAGGGCTGACCCCGCAGCTCGGGGACATGGGTCCTTGCCAGGGAGAGCAGAAAGAAAGAGTGAAACCGGGAAAAAACAGTGAATCTGTAAAAATAGAGCCGGGGAGGAGAAAGCAAGTCCAGAGCAGTTGGTTTGTCTGT